GGGGCCGCCTTGATCCCAGTATGCACGCATTTTCCTGACAATTTCTAGTCGAAACCTTGCGAGGTTCCAATAAACAACACTAATAAATCTAGAGATATTAAATCACATAAATACTCATATGTACCCAAAGTGCATATGGAGACGTTATTTACTACCACATGAATGACAGCCGTATTTACAATCTCTACAGTTGTATATTTACTTCATTCGAATCTGAAACAGGTAAAAGTTGCGGTATAAATGTACAACCCAGTTATCGGGCTGTCCTGTCGTGACCACCTGGGGATAATGCAACCTGAATAAGTTTGTTTCAGGTGACAGGACTCAGTTCCATTAAAATAAGCGGTATGTCAATCCTCACAGGATATTCCGAAATCACGCCCTCATTGTCTCCAAAACTTCCTCTCACCTGAAAGCGCAACTGCGAAATTGGCGTCAAGATTTCGTGAGCTTGGGTATTTACAGTGGGGCACGGGTGTATGAGATACCGCGGGCGGGGACCAACTTTTTATTTGTACGGTCAATCCAGGTTTGTCAACGTGGTTGAATGAAGGTTGCGTAACCATGCACCGATGAGTATATGCTACCGCACAACACAGTGACGCCGCTCACACTGACAGCCTGGAATGTTCATTACCTTTAAGACAGTACAAAGGCACATCGCCCGAAAAGGAAGACGGTCCCGGTCGCCCGCGAATCGGCACGCTACAAATGGAACAGTGCAGTCCGGTGAAATCCGTTTCCTTAAGGAGGGACAACTGGAGGACCTGGGTGTTGCCTACACCCTGTTCTATAGCTGGCGCCAAAAAGCAGAGCGAAGAGATGTCGGAGTCGCCTTCGCCAACAAGGACGACGTCGTGGGACTAATGTCGTATCTGCCGCAGGGCATAAACGACCATCCCATGACTGAGCCGGCCTCTTCGAGGTCACAATTTCGACATCGCTGTCGGCGCCTAAGCACCCCCAGTGATTAACTTCGACGATATGGTGGACAAGTTTTACGAAGACTTTCACGCCCGCCTAACGACTGTTTCAAAGACGGACAAACTTATTGTCATCCGTGGACTCAATGCCTGAGTCCGCACTGAACATGATGCTTGAGAGGGAGAGTTTTGTTACCATGGTATCAGCAGCTACATCAGCAATGACAATCTCCTGAAGGCCTTCAGGGACCACAGTCTTCCTCTGACCAAAACCTTCCCTCTCGAGGCGTGAGAAAGCGACCTACATGCACCTTTCTTGCCTCAATGAACTACGTCCTAGTTCGGAGGCAAGGCCAGCGTGATGCAGTCGTGACTAGGAT